TTTAGCAATGGGAGAAAGAATTTCTTCACCACTGGTCTGGACCAAAGCAAAATATTTTTAAAGGCCCAAATGTATACATTTTAAGTTGCTTTATTAGTACAAGGGATATTTTCATCTTAAGTAATTTATACTGTGATTTTATTGGTTAATGATATTTTGTTGTTTAATGATAGCATTTAAATGTGGATATAGGTGCTTCAACCTTCACTTTCCTCACCCCACCAGAAGGTGATTTTTTTTTTTTTACCTCATAGAGGGAAACCAGATTGTCAGGCTGTTTCCTTATAGCTTTCAGGCAATTTTTAGAAATTTAGGCTTATCTTTAACCCTTGATACACTTATAACCTGTTTTAGTGTTCTGTCCATTTTTCCAGTGGCTATTGATAGTATATGTTTGCTATATGAGTGGGAAGTTGAACTAAAAAACCATCTCAGCCAAACTGGCCTAAGTTTTATACTTATTATGTGAAAATGTTGTTAATTAAGACATTTTGTTCAGCCATGATATATAGATCACACTCATCAATATTTTGACATTAAAGGGTTGGACCCTTTACCAGGTACAGCTAGGAACTGAGGCTTTTCTGACTTTCTGTTAAAGTAAGTTGCTTCCTGACACTGCCTCCTTTATGGGTTGCCCTACTAACCAAAGTAGCAAATTCTCTTTAATTTTGCACTGTGTTACACACAAAGGATATAAAAACAAAAAAATGAAGTAGTTACTTTCCTCAAGGAGTTTATATTCCATTGGTGGAAACAACATGGTTATTTTCTACACCAGAGAAGCAGCTTGTCCTAACAGGAGTGGAGAAGCAAGAAGCAGTCAGGAAAATAAAATTGGTCTACAAAATATGAGAGGGTCATTGATTAGAAGTAATTTGTAGTGTAATCCCACTTAGACACTGTTGGGCCTGGACTCTTCAGGTTTCTTCTAAACTTAAGTTCAGAGTTCATTTTCATTTTGTGAATAAAACCTGCTATTAAGTATGCACAATGGAAACTACGAAGTCATTTAGTATCCTCTCCATTTTATTTCATTTATGGTTTAGCAGGGACTGGCAAGAAAAACAGGAGGACGCCTTGCACAAGAAGTTTATTTGACTCATTTTTCCTTTGCTAAAAGGTAGTCAACAAATATTGTATTGATCACTATAGACTCAGCCATATGAGGCATTTAGAAAAACTGATATATCATTGGAATTTGCCATGAAAGTGGGAAGAGACTAATATGTGGGGGGTGGGGTGGGGAAGGAAACATACAAATTCTTAACCTTATGCCTAGGGAACTTTACCTACCTCAAACTCCATTCACCCACACCCACAAGGAAATCGTGAGGATATGGGAACTACTGATGTGAAAAAGCAGCTCTGTGTTTGAGTTCTAAAAACTTGAAGAGGAAATTGTCTAGAGAGAAAGAAATAAAAAAAGTTAAACAATAACAGTGAAATTTGATTTTGTGGTGTATACTCAAGTTTGGTTTTGTGTATGAATAATTGGTATTATGGTAGTAGTGATTATTATCAGGCTGGTGGTCAGCAGATCTTGGTTATAGTCCTGAATTCATGAAACAGTACTTGAAGTGCAAAAAGAGTCTTTGCCTGGTTGTGGCTCTTGAAATTCTGAAAATTAGTATATTCTGTTCTCAGGAATCTTGGCCTTCCCTCTATTGTAGGTTAGAACTACCTAGGAGCATAGTGCTACAATTATAGGAACATGTAACTAGCTTCTAATTGGTAGCCACTTTTTATTATAACTACCTCCTCTTTTACTTATAAAAGTGGCACTAGTATATAACCTTTATTAAAGGAGTACTTTGAAGAAATGAGACAGTGCACCTCCCTTCTTTGCAGAAGTTTGAAGAGAGAAGATCTGGTTGTGAAACACTGTCAGACTCATTTGTATTTTTTGTTACAAGGAAGGGGTGAGGGAGGAAGGGAGAGATATATTTGTAAATAGTGATGTAAAAACAAAAGCCATCAATCATTTAAAAAAATAAATGCTTTGCATGACCTTTAAGTGGTAGCAACACATGTATACATGTGTAGTAATCATACACTCCGTGATTTTATCACTAAATAAAACACTAGTAGAGACTCCATTATACCTAGACCCATAACTTCTCAAGCGATTCTAATAGAAATCAGTTGATGGAAGTAAAGGCAATTTGAATATATTTTATGAAGAAGTTTAAACGTTGTCACAAATAGCAACTTGTCATTACATAAATGTCATTGCATTTCTCCTGTTTCCATTTTAGAACTTGCTAAAATGTGTAGTTCTCAAATCCTAAATTATATTTATATATACATATAATATATATACATACATAAACACACACATACATATATATACACATGCAATTTACAATAAGGAGTGCATAATAGGGAATGAAGCCACAAAGTTCTAGTGCTTTCAAGTAGCATTTTATACCCACTGATATCAAGAACAGTGTAGCATTTACATTACAGTATTAAGAGCTTGGGTAGCCAGGTGTTTCAGTGGATAGAGTGCTGGTTGTGGAGTCAGGAAGACCTGAGTTTAAATCCAGCCTCAGACATTTACCAGCTGTGTGACCCTAGGCAAGTCACTTGACTTCTTTTTGCCTTAATCCACTGGGGAAGGAAATGGCAAACCACTTTAGTATCTTTGCCAAGAAAATCATGTGGCTAGATAGTGCTTGGGGTCACAGGTAGTCAAACAGGACTAAGTAACTGAACAGCAACAAATCAAGAGCTTATTTTATTCTCTTTCCTACATTAGTAAACTTAGTTTTATTTTTCTCTTAATCCTAATTTTTGCTTATGTTGGATTAATAAGCGTTTACAGCTTGATTTTTATTGCTTTCATTATTGCCTCTTTCATTACTAAAGTTCTGGCTCCTATGAATGTGGCTACTACCAAGTGAGGAGACCAAAATATTTGATTTTTTTTTCTAACTTGAACTAAGTGCCCTTCTTCATGATGCTTCCATCTTTGAAATGATATAGTGGTACTAGTTCTGTATCCCAAAGAGATCATAAAAAAGGGAAAAGGACCTCCATGTACAAAAATATTTATAGCAGCCTTTTTCATGGTGGCAAAATATTGGAAATTAAGGGGATGCCCATCAATTGGGGAATGACTAAACAAGCTGTGGAATATGAATGTAATTGAATACCATTGTGCAATTAGAAATGATGAACAGGCAGGTTTCAGAAAAACCTAGAAAGACTTGTACAAATGGATGCAAAGCAAAACGAGCAGAACCAAGAAAACATTGTACACAGTATCAGCAACATTGTGTGATGATCAACTATGAATGACTCAGCCCTTCTCAGCAACACAATGATCCAAGACAAGTACAAAGGACTCACAAAAGAAAATGCTACCCACATCAGCTGAAGAATTGATGGATTTTGAATGCAAATCGAAGCATATTTTTTTTTACTTTATTCTTTTTTGTGGGTTTTTGTCTTTTGATCTATTTCTTCTTTCACAACTGTGACTCATATGGAAATATGTTTTACATGATAGCACATGTATAACCAATATCAAATTGCCTACCATTTTAGGAAGAAGGAAAGGGAGGGAGGGAGAGAAATTTGGGAGCTTAAAATCTTGTAAAAATTAATGCTAAAAATTGTCTTGACATGTAATTAGGAGGAAAAGTAAAGTACCATTTTAAGATTTAAAAATGATAGTGAACTTATTTTTAATTTTTAAAACATTTTTATTTAAAGTTTTGCATTCCAAATTCTGTTTCTCCCTAAAACAGTAAGCAGATGTAGGTTATACATGTGCAATTATGTATAACATTTCCATAGTAGTCATTTTGTACAAGAAGACTCAAATAAAAGAAAAAAATGAAAGAAAGTGAAAAATAGCATGCTTCAGCCTGTATTAAAACAATATCAGTTCTTTTTCTGGAGACAGATAGTATGCTTCATCATTAGTCCTTTGAGACTGTCTTGGATCATTCTAATGCTAAGAATAGCTAAGTCATTCACAGTTCTTCATTGAACAATATTGCTATTACTGTGTACAACATTCTCCTGGTTCTGTGAACTTACTTTTAAAAGATAAAGTTCCTTAGTAGTAGATAATGCTAGAAAAATAATCGATTTCAGAGCCCAGCAAAATAGTGGATTCATAAATGCATAAATTTTAATTTTATTGTTCGTTGTTGTCATATAAAACTTCCTTAATGGAAAATACACACATATAGCAACCTTTTTTTTTTTTCATTCTGTTAGTGGCACTCACGTGTGTAATTGTACAGACCAGCAACTAAGCAGTAGTCAAAATTACTATCTTAAATTTTATACCTAGAAATCCTTTGTGGGTACATCTACAGTTTTGCTTGGGTGTTGTAAAGTCTTACTTTCAAGATTATGTTTGTTAACATTGTTCATAGCTTAGTACAACGATGATTTAATAAATACTTTCTTATTATAGTAACAAACCTTTGCATTTTACATGTAAATTCTGACCACCACCACCCCTTTTTTTTTTTCTCATAATACCCCAATGGTAAAAGCATACGTTAGTGTGCAAAGTAGCAATAAAGTAAAAACATAAATTATTTCCTGGGAGGAAAACTCAGGCTAGCCATTCAGTTCTTTTAGGTAAGATGAAGTGGCCTACACCTATCCAAGTTTGTTTATAATGTCGCTCAGATTTGGTTGACTGCCCATGTTATTAGGGAAAAAAGTCAATGTGGCATTGACGATGGGGCAAAGAATTCAGTGTTTCACAGTAGATGGACTGCATTTGGAAATTCAAGGGAGAGGATTGGGAAAAAAAAAGCTGAATATTTAAAGACTGGTAAGTTGTGAATGTTTAGTAGAAGACAAATAGCTGGCTCAAAGTTAAGTAAAATAAAAATTTTCATCTCATGACCCTGGCTTAAAAAATGAGATTTATCAACACTGGTATCTTGTGTGTGTGCATGATGTATAGTACACAAAGCTTTCCTTATTGATTGTTTCTTCACAGGTGTATTATTTACTTTGCCTTCCAGGTGTCCGCAAATATGGTAAAGATTTTCAAGCTATTGCAGATGTAATTGGCAACAAGACTGTTGGCCAAGTGAAGAACTTCTTTGTAAACTACAGGCGTCGGTTTAACTTAGAGGAGGTATTGCAGGAGTGGGAAGCAGAACAAGGAACCCAGGCTTCTAATGGTGATGCTTCTACCTTAGGGGAGGAGACAAAAAGTGCTTCTAATGGGCCCTCAGGAAAGAGCACTGATGAAGAAGAGGAGGTGTGTTTGTCTATGAGATCTGAGCTAATATGAGTTGAGGAATAGCACTTCGTGTGGTGTACCATAAGGTTAATTTATCAGGGGACTGGCAAATGAGCATGAAAGGTTGACAATACACTTACTCAGTGGTACATTTCTCGTGACTGTTGAGTCATAATGACGTGCAGAGAGCTGAATCTGGAAGATTGGAGAGTGTATTGTTCTTTCATAGTCTTATTTTTATTTCCTCTGTTAAAATCGTTTACTAATAAAGATGCTTGCCTGGTAGCTTCATTGCTTTTTTGTTTTTGTTTTGATTTTATTTAAAAAATAAATACATAAAACTTGCGCTTCCAATAAATGCAGGTATTATATTTGTTTGTTTTTTTATTTTCTGTAACAATCAGACTATATTTTATTGAGCTCTGCAGGGACCAGCATCTCATGAAGGTATTTGTTTCCTTTCCTGTAGGCACAGACCATTCAGGCTACCCAGTCTCTGGGCCCATCACCTCCTGCGCCGGCTTCCACTCCAACTCCAGCTGCCCCCATTGCCAGTCTGAACCAGCCTCCACCACTGCTTCGTCCAACACTTCCTGCTGCCCCAGCTCTCCATCGGCAGCCTCCACCACTCCAGCAGCAGGCCCGGTTCATTCAACCTCGGCCAACTCTCAATCAGCCTCCCCCACCTCTCATTCGCCCTGCTAATTCCATGCCTCCTCGTCTAAACCCAAGACCAGTGTTGTCGACAGTTGGTGGCCAACAACCACCATCACTGATTGGAATTCAGACAGACTCACAATCTTCAATGCATTAAGGAAATGAAGCTGGACAGAGCTGCAGTAACTTCTAATCCCACCAGTATGCCAATGTTCATCTGGCTGTTGAAAAAGAAAGGAAGGGGCAAACCTTTCTATATATTGAAGCAGAAAGTTTCAAAGTGAGGCTGCAAGTTAATATTGCAACGGAACAACATAAGTGAACATCTACAAAATTTTTCAGTGCGCCAGACTAAAACATTACACAACATGAAGCCTCCAATTAGCCCTTTTTTCTATGAATATTTGTTCAAGAAAGTTTCCCACGAAAGGAAAAGAAAAAAGATTGTGTTCTGTGCTCCAAGGTTGTTTGATTTTTACTGTATTTATTTTACTGAAGTTCTTTATATTCCAACCTCTTTATATTCAAAGTTCATAGTACAAGAATATGTCTGTTTAGGTATTGTGAAAACTCCATAGACTTTGAAATTAATGTGGAGTTTGGCTTTTTTTGTTTGCTTTCTCAATTTAATTTTTAAAAAAAATATTTTCCTATGTTAGGAGTGAAAGAATAAATAGCCTGCATTTCGGTTTTTGGCAAATGTTCTATGAAAAATAGTACAATTCAATGCACCTTTAAGAAAATGCAGCAACTTGACCTTTTTTTTTCCTCCAAAAGACATTGCATTCTTTCTAATGGAAATTTAGGATATATATGTGTGTGTGTCCATATGTATATATCTATGCATTCCTTTGAAAGAAAGCAATTTAATCAATTGCAAAGCAATTACATGAAGCCACAAAGAATGTACTGAATTTATCCCTCTTAAGTGATGTTGGGTCTTAATAGAAATTTGAATTACTCATTTAAAGGTTATTGACCCATCTTCCACTGTAAGAGAGCTTACTACCAGTATTGGAGTAATTCCTTTTACTTTTCATTTAAAAATGAGGATATAATTTGTTAAAGTATAGTGTCTTTGTTTAATTCCTTTCAAAATTGAAATTATTTTAAGAACTTTTTTTTTCTAGATTGTTAAATGCTACATGCTTCAATAGCTGCATGTAACAACTACTTATTTGGAAACTATAGAAGAAAGTATTATTTTATCAATTATGTGAAGATGGTGGCTATGAAAAGTTAGCTTTTTGGAATTTGTGTTTTCTGAACTAAAAATTGCCCCCCTCTCATTTCATATGTTTTATCTTTAATGTTTTATTGATGAGTCTCCAATGTGCTATTTGGATGCATTTGTGAGTGTTCTTGCAACTCATGAGTTTTGTCTAGAACTTAATCATCAAAATTATTTGTTTAAAAATTAAGAATTTGATATATGCTATCTAAAGATGTATCGAGTATATGTTCATCAGTTGTGCTGTTAACTGAAATAGAAGTGCTGAGAGCCCTTTTGTTAAGGCACCATTATCTGTAACCTTTTCCATATACTATGTAATTATGAAGTTCCTGCTAAGTGCTCTGTGGCACCATTTGATGAGAGATAGTATTTCAGCAATCACAGTTTTGATATAGAAATTTTTAATTCATTATTGGAATCATGACATGAAAAGGGATGGGCTTCTTGGATGCTATTGTAGTAGAATTTAAGGTCAAATTTCTAATTTTTAGCCTTAAGTGCATTCTCATAGCATAATTTCTTCGGCTGATTAAGAAACAGTTCCTAATAACCCTTATGTTATAGGGAGCTGATTTTTCCTGACGTATTGGCATATTATCCCCATTGAGCTCTTCAGTGCTTTGAAGCCAGTCTAAATTTTCCTGATTGGTTTTGATGCTAAAATGGTAGCAGTTTTCCCAAATACTAGAACTTTTTCAAGTAGTACCAGTTTTTGACTATTGGAATAACTAAATATAACTCCTGACCTTCTAATAGGACCAGATGAAATCTAAATTCTTAGTTTTCAAAAATCCACTTAGAGCATTTTGAACTTAAAATTACTATTGGAGACAGTTACTACAATGTCTTAGGGAAGGTATCTAAAGTATTTTTTTAAGTATTTAGATTGAATCTCACAAATGTATACACTATACCTTTGCAACCTTTTTTTTGTCTTGTCTCTTGTCAATAGAACTTCAGTATACAGTATGTGGGGTATGTCAGTAAAGTTGGTTGACACCAGCATTTATCAAGCTTTTTAGTATTTTGTAATTCAGTTAAAATCTGTTCTCTCCCAGACTTGGGCCAAGGTGCTGTATCTGAGGGATGTGCTATAATTTGATTTACATACATTAGAGCACATAGTAGGGAAATCTTAGCTTCAGTAGTAACATGACAAATGTATATAGTGAAATGTCTTTTTATTGTGTGCTTTGCATATTATGTAAATACTTTGCACGTCTTCCCCCACTCCCATTCCCTTTTTTCTTTTTTTTTCTTTTACTTTTCTTTTTTTTTCTTTTTCTTCTTTTCTTTTCTTTTCTTTTTTTTTTTTTTGTTTAAGCAGTGTTTGGCCTAAAAGAGTGATATGCTTGCTGCTTAATCAAAGGATTAAAAATTTAAAGAAGTCTGTGTCTTCTATTTTTATGTAATTTAACACCATGTGAATGAATTAGGACCTTTTTACTGTGAAACTTTATATTAAGGAAAGACTTAGAAATATCTAAAATTTCCATTTTTGTTCATTTCAGGGTAAAACATTTTGAAAGCTATATAACTTTGGTAACTTCTAAGAAATCACCAAAGTATTTTTCTGCTTATTTAAAAAAATAAATGACATGTTGACACCTCTAATAAATGTAACAAGTTATATATTCTGCATGTTTTATCCTCAATGTGATTGGATGAGGAAATTGAACTTTTTTTTTTTTAGTTATTAAGCTAGCAAATACAAAACTGTAAAAACAGGCTTTAAAATCAGGTTGAACAATTTTAAGGTTAAGAGGACAGCAAGCTAAGAGTGTGTAGTATTGGTGTCTTCAACATTGTTATTTATGATGCAGGACCTGATGTCATGAGGCTTTTAATGAAATGTTGGAGTTTATGGGGAAAAAAAACAAACTGGTAATATGAATTTCTCTCAATCTCCAGTCCTGTTCTACATTGTTTCTGACAAACAATGACACTAGAGTACCCAGAATCTCACACTTTGGGGAAAAAAATATCTGACTTTTACTTTAAAGAGGGGAATTCGTTGTCCCTAACACCCATGTGGCAAGCTTTTGTTGGTTTTTGTTGTTGGTTTTTAATCAGTATGTCATTTCTTCAACATTCAACATGCTTTTATTAAGCACTCGTTCTGTGCCTAATATTAGTAGGTGCTGGAAGTATGTACTCCTTTGTTTGACTTTGTGCCACCAGAAAATAGATTACACATTACAATTACAGTACATTTTTTACCTTACGTTTAATTTTCTAAGTCAAATCAACAAGCATTTATGAAGCGCCTGCTATATGTCAAGCATAACTGGGAGTTCTGGGGATACAAAGAAAGCAAAAAGTTCCTGCCCTCAAGGAGCTCACAGTCTGTTTGGGGAAGAAAACGTAAACAATTACGTACATGAATATTCAGGGTAAATTGGAGATGATCAGAAGGAAGATGCTAGCGTTAAGGGGGACTTAGATTTCTTTCAGAAGGTAAGATTTTAACTGAAATTTGAAGGAAGCCAGGAGGTGGTGGTGAGAAAAGAGAAAATTCAGGCTCTGGGAGCTCCCAGTGAAAAAGGCTTAGTTGGGAGATGGAATGCTGTGTTCAAGCAAAGGCAAAGAGGCCAGAGTCAAGTGTAAGAAGCTTGGAAAGGTGGAGGGACCAGGTTATGAAGGGATTTAAAAATCAGAGATTTCTTTATTTGATCCTAGAGGTAACAGGGAGACAGTGGAGTTTATACTGGGGTGGGAGGGGGGAAGAGCGTTATGGTCCAACCTTCTCTTAAGGAAGATCACTTTGACAGCTGAGTAGACAGTACTGAAGCAGGCAGAAAATTGAGGCAGGGAGACCAACCAGAAGGCTTATTTCAATAGTGAAGTGTGAGGTGATGAGGACCTGCATCACAGTGGCGGCACTTTTGAGGGAGAAAGGGGTCTATACAAGAGATGTTCAAAGGTAGAATCACCAAGCATTGGATTCCTTCTATGTACCTGACAGCTAGGTGGTACCGTGGATAGAGTGCCAGGCTGGAGTCTGGAAGACTCATCTTCCTGAGTTCAAAGCTGGCCTTAGTAGCTGTGTGACCTTGGGCCAGTCACTTAACCCTGTTTGTCTCAGTTCCTCATCTGTAAAATGAGCTGGAGAAGGAAATGGCAAATCACTCCTTAGTATTTGCCAAGAACATCTCAAATGGAGTCACCAAGAGTTGGATATGAAATGATGGAGCACCAACATGTACCAGGCATTATGCTAAAAGCTGGAGATACAAAGACAAAAGCCAGTTACTGCCCTTAGGAGCTTATAGTCCGCTGTAGGTGGGCAGCATGTACACACGAGTGATTACGAAGTAATTGGGGGGGGGCAGAGCACTACCAATTAGATCAGGGAAGGAATCCCATAGGACATAATCCTTGGTGATACGAAACATGCTCAGGAGAGAAATGAAAGCTGGACATTTGGGAGTTACATACTTAGGGAAGATAGTTCAGCCCCATAGGAACTGATAAGCTCACTGAGAAAATATAGAGCAAAAAGAGAAGGGAACCCAGGACAGAGGCTTGGGATACGACCACACTTAGGAAATGGTTTGAGACATGGATAATGCTGAAAAGGAGACTCGAAGGAGAACAGGGAAGAGCAGCATATGTCATGAAAACCTAGGAAGGACAGGGTATCCTGGAGGAGGGGATGGTGAACAAGGCCAAATACTGCAGAGCAATCAAGAAGGATGAAGACCGAGAAAAAGATCTAACAAATCATGGGGGAAAATGTTTAAAAAGAGATTGTGGAGAGCAATTTCAGTTGAGTGGTGAGGATGGGCAGGGGGTTCAGAAATGAGTGAAGGTGAGGTACAGATAGCACAGATAAAGGACAGCCTAAGGGGAGGGTAGGCAGTGAAAGTTTTTTAAGGATAGATCTGGACTGGATTGTAGAGAGTGAGGAAGAAGACAATGGATAGGGAAAGATTGGAAACATTTGAAAGCACCGACTTAGTGTTGCTATGGCCTCAAAGAAAAACTTGGACCAACTTCCAAGTCAAAAGAATGTGGTTCATTGTGTGGTGCAAAGAGGTGATAAAAAGAAAATGCAGGCAAGTAGTCCACGAAGCTAGCATGACTGATGATCTCATTGTGTACTGGTGAAGTAAGATGCTACTGCTATTACACTTATTTTGTTCAACACGTATATTAGCTACCTATTTTGTTCAAATGGTAAGCACCAGAATGATAAAAGAGAAGACAGGCCCCTGACTTCAGACTTTACAATCTACTAGAGGATGTAAGGCATGTTCTCATATGATATGACATTTAATAGAGTTCACTGGAGGAAGATTTCTTCTGTTGAGTTGTTATTAATCTAGGACTTGAAAATGAATAAGATTTAAACAGATGAAGATGGAGTTGAGGAAGGCAGAACCAGGCATTCTTCTGTCATTCAGTTTATGGGGAACTGGTATGATTATTCTTTTAAGAAAAATAGTGCCCAGAGGAAAACAATCCTACCTCCTTCCACCTCTTACCAGCCCTCACTTGAAATAGCCTTACTGCCTTGAAAATCTATAGCAGTCACTTTAGGGATAACTAAGCACAACATCTGTTCCAACATAAACTTATCTCCTCAAACTACCTTCCCTTCCTTCTTCTCTCTCCCTCTCAGCAGAGGACTCAATTTCATACTTAACTGGAAAAAAAAATTACGAGTCATCCATTGTGAGCTGCTCCCTAATTCTGCCCTTCAAACCACTTCAGTGCTGTTTCCCACTCTTCTTCCACTCTTGAAGAATGAACAAATTCCAGCCCTGGAGAATAGGGTGGCCTTTCTCTCTTCTAAAGCCAATCACATTCTACTTGTACCCTTGATCCCATCTTCTCCCACTTCCTTTAGGAGCCTAATTTTCAACCTTTACTCAGTGGCTTCTTCTGTCCTACCTATATGACCGAATCTTTCTCATCCTTAAAAAGCCTTCCCTCAATCCTACCATCTCCTCAAGTTTGCCCTATGTCTCTTTGCTCTTGTAGCCAAACTCATAGAAAAAGCTGCCCTCTACTTTCTCACTTCCCACTCACTTCTCAAGCCCTTGCAATCTGGCTTCTATCTCCACTACTTAATTGAAACTGTTTAATCCAAAATCATCAGTGATCTCTTTATTGCTAAATCCAATTTCCTTTTTCATTCTTCATCTTTCTTGACCTCTCTGCAGTATTTGACAGTGTTAATCACCCTCCCTTTCTAGATATTCTCTCCTCCCCTTAAGTTTTCAGGGTACTGCTATCTTAGTTATCCTATCTATTGCATCCTTCTTAGTCCCCTTTGCAGAATCATCATCCATATCTCACTACCTTTGTTTAGGTATTTCATAAGGACTTTGCATTTGACCCCCTTCCCTAGGTTCAGTTATCTTCACTATGCAAACAATGTTGTTGTTTAGGTGTTTCAGTCATGACTGACTTTCCTGACCCCATTTTGGGGTTTTCTTGGCAAAGATATTAAAGTGATTTGCCATTTCCTTCTCCAGCTCATTTTACAGATGAAGAAACTGAGACAAACAGGGTTAAGTGACTTGCCCAGGGTCACATAGCTAGTAAGTGTCTGAGGCCAGATTTGAACTCAGGAAGATGAGTCTTCTTGACTCCAGGCCTGGCACTCTATCCACTGTGCCACCTAGCTGCCCTGGTGACATATAAATGTTAGCTATTATTATCATATTGCTTTAAAGTTTGCAAAGTGACTAATATACTTCATTTGAGACTTTTGGAAACCCTATTAGACAGTTACAATAAAACTTGTATTTATATAGTGCTCAGGTGCTTTATATAAACTAGATTCATAACAATTTTCCTTTTATACAATAAAGCATTAGAGGGGTGAGAGCATATATGATTAACTTTGGAATAACCATAATGGATGTCAAATACCTTCCATGACACTCTCCAACCCCACCCTAACAAACTGCTTACTATCTCCTACCTCCCACCCCTACCCTGTCATGAAAAAAAATGAATTTAAATGGATGTCCCATAAATATCTCAAACTCAACATGTCCAAAACAGGACTCATTTTCTTTCCTTCCAAATCCTCCTCTCTTCTAAATTTCTCTGTTACTGTTGAGGGCACTACCATCCTCCCAATTCACCCAGGTTCACAACTTCAATGCCATCCTTGACTCTTCTCTCCCTTTCACTGTACACATCCAATACATTGCCAAGTATTATCAGTTTTTACCTTCATAACATCTCTCATATATCCCCTTTTCTCCACTCACATAATAA